TGTCGTTTAAGGCAATATCGTGCCTGTTTAGCCAAGTTTTGATGTCATCCTTCCTATTGGCGGTTGTTGGGCACTTGTCAACTTGCTTGATATGGTCTGGAGTGTTGTCCATAACAATGACAGAATTGGGTGGAATATATTTGGTATCAAGTTTTCACTCAACCATTTTGAGAAATTCTCAAAATTCATCTCATCGTGATAATCTGCCGTTTTGAGTCTAGCGTCAAATATTAGCAGTGCATTTGGCACAAATCCGTTCTCAAAACCTGCATCCACTGCTATCAGCCGAGGTCCAGACCCAGACGGTGGTCGAACCCCACCTATATCCATGTCACCCCCCAGTTGCCAACATTTTGGAACAGTGTGGTGCACATGTAACTACGTTTCATCAAGGAAGATGATTGGGCGGTTTTCAGCTCGGTATTATTTAATTGTTCGTAAGTATTGCATTCGTTTTGCAACTATATCTTTCCTTTCCATCAATAGCTCGCGATTTGACAGCGTTTTGCGTCATCTAAATCCCATTAACTTCAGAGCTAACATTCTCGGGAACCCGCATAGATCTGTTTTGACCATCTCATGGATTCTGTCAAGAGTTGGAAGTTGTTTTCACACTACATATGAGTTTTGCACAAACTGGCGAATTGCACACTGGTTGAAATCATCGAGCTGGGATTTAATCACAGGACGATTTCATGACTTGTTTGGGCTAACGAAACTACCCTCCCCATTATCACGATCGACACATTCTGCTCGGATGTGCCTCAGTGAAGAGAGAGATAAACTGGTGGCATTGCTAGCTTTTAACACTGCCTGTTTCGTAGATGTATATTCTTTCTCCATGTGCTTAATAACATTGTATGACACTTCTCGGGTCTGAGAATGTATTATCTGACCGTGCTTACCTAACTTTGACATGTTGAATTCTCTCGAAATATATATCTATATATCCGGATATTACCGACTTGCTACACCGACCACGTGAGAGTCGTATGAGCAAGGCGTGTCCAGCTACGCGCGGAATCAATTTCATCGTCATGTACTGCACGTGCACTAGCCTACATCTGCTCTACCTTTCACATACCAAATGGGGTTGCTCATTGCCGTGCACCGCCTACTTCTCCTAAACGCGTTCTCTGCGCCGGTCCAACTTATCCTTGTTTGCCAATATCTCTTGACCGACATTGTGAGAGTTGCCGGATTTGCTGCCAAGAACATAACCCTTCTGACACTCTGGATACTGCAGAAGGATGCAGTGCTAGGGAGTCTGCCATTCCCGAATAGTTCGACTGGGCGTAATAGGCTACTAACGCGATAGAAGGGCCAGGCCAGGTGACATTGTTGCTGCATGTCATCGCATGCTCATGATGTCAATCACTAGACCGCCGATCATATAGCTTAGCGTAGCCTTAAACAACAAGCCCACAAAAACATATTTATAATCATCTCGTTTACATGAGTACACATGCCCACAAACAACACAGCGGATTATATATAGTAGGGGAGACAACTCTTGGTGGCCTCTAGCCATCAATTCTTTAACACGAACAACCCAAGGGGTACAGTATGATTAACATGCATTAGCATTTACGTTCCGACACATAGTAAATATTTTTTCGCTGAAATCTGATATATACTCAACCAAGCAACATAGACGAAAATGTTATAACCTCTGCCAAGCAGGATATATTGCAAAATGAATTTACATTGATTGATGATGACTCCAATAAAATTATAAATAAAAAAATAATCATAAATGAAATAACAAAATCATCAGCTTTAAAACTTGGCATGTGGTCCTGATGGACTGCCTCTTGAAATGGGGAACACGGAGGTCATATTTAACCATCTTATTTGTATGTACTGTTTAATTGTATTTTTAACTCTGCTTGGTCACAGAGTGTTATCTTTCCACTTCACAAGAAGGGGAACAGAAAGGATGTTAATAGCTATAGAGGTATTTCCTTGATGGACATATGCGGAAACATATTCACTTATATTTTAAATGAAAGTCTGAAATCATTTGTTGATGTGTATAATTTAAATACAGAATGTCAAGCTGGATTCCGCTCAGGCTATTCAGCTGTTCACATTATTTTCACCACAGGCTTTAATTCAAAAATACTTGTCTAAGTCTAAAGGTCGTTTTTTATTGTTTATATATTGATTTTCCATAAAGCATTTGATTGTGTAAATAGGGATCTGTTATGGTGTATTCTTTCTCAAAACAATATTCAGGGTAAATGCTTTCAATATTGCGTACATTAAATCAATTTCAGCTGTAAAACTATCAAATTGTAGTATTTAAGAATATTACAACTCCTTGATTGCTGTACGCCAAGGATGTATACTAAGTCCATTTCTATTCAGTATCTTTGTAAAACAAAGAAAGAGGTATTTTTGTTGGAGCAGAATTTTTGGAGTTCTTTATTATTCTATGCTGATGATTTATGTCTATTTTCTGACACAGTTATAGGTTTACAAAGGAACTTTAATATTTCATCCAAATTTTGCCCAAAATGGAGCTTAAATGTTAATTTTGCAAAAACAAATTTATAATTGCATTTTCGCAACGGAGGTATATTAAAGAAGATCGAAGAATGGATGTTTAACTATGTGAAGTTGGAAACTACAAGCTATTACAGCTATTTGGGTATTTCAGTTTCCAGCAGATTATCTTGGTCTAAAGCAGTCCAGACTCTCGTTCATGCTAATAAAGCCCTTCTTCCAAATATACAGCTTCATCATAAATTACCAAATCTTTCTCCCACTGTCTGATTTCAAATGCTTGAAGTTAAGCCTATCGTCTTATATTGCTCGGACATATGGGGTTATCATGAATGGATAATGCTAGAAAGATTTCAGGTAAAATACTGTAAATATGTTCTTGGTGTTGGTATTAACACAGCAAACACACCTGTTTTATCTGAATGCAGTCGTCATTATATTTGTTGTGATTCATTAATAAGAGGAGTTAAGTATTGGTGTAAATTATTAATTATGGAAGCGACTAGATATCCTAAACAAACCTATATTATGTTAAAAAGAACGGACGATAATAACCGCAAGTCATGGGTTACTGAAGTGAGGATATTAATTTATATTTCTGATCTTAGCTCTGCGTGGGATGTTCAAAATATTGTTAACACTGATCCATTTGTTAAGTGGTTTTCTCAACGATTTAGAGATTGTAACATCCAGTGTATATTTTCTATGCTAAATGACTTTCTGATTTTGAGTTCTATTCATATGTCAAAAGTACGTTTAATGTGGAATCAAAGTCACGGAGTCACGACATGTTATGCATATATATGGTTACATCGAAGATTGCTTTCTCCACTAACTTGGGGTAACCAACTACAAACCTTATGCAAATGAATTGCGCCAGGATCATGCATCAAATTGCTGAAAAGCATGTGCAAATATCGTGCATGTGAACAGATGCATTGTGGTGTAAAGTTTTGTAAGGAATTCGCTAATTTTCACTGATTTTTATCATTCTTTGACCTCATGACAATAATCTTTTCAACATTACAAATTTGTTTTACAATATATCAGTTCATGTCTTAACACTACCTTTAAACAGTATGGGATATTTTGCAAAATTTAGTTTAGAACAGTTGCCTGAAGTACGTGGCTACATTTACACTAGTGAGTCTAAACTTTTGATGGGTAGTATGTAACAAAGATTTAAGAAGATTTCTGTCACTTTTAAGATTAGGTCGAATTAAATATCATAAAGAATGCAGGAAGAAGAAATAATATCCCAAGAGAATTATGTTTGTGTCCATTTTGCAATAACATTTATGAGTGAGTGGGTGAGTATGGTTTTACGCCACTTTTAGCAATATTCCAGCAGTATCGCGGCGTAAGACACCAGAAATGGGCTTCACACATTGTACCCATGTGGGGAATCGAACCCGGGTCTTCGGCGTGACGAGCGAACGCTTCAACCAGTACGCTGCCCTACCGCCCCAAGATTTTAGAAGATGAGGTTCATTTTATGTTTATTTGCTATACTATACATGTACAAGTGAGATGTTACATATTTATTGTAAAGATAGAAATTCCCTCATACGCCTTCTTCAAAATGAGTAAGTGGGTGAGTTTAGTTTTACGCCGCAGTCAGCAATATTCCAGCTATATGGCGGCGGTCTGTAAATGATCGAGTCTGGACCAGACAATCGAGTGATCAACAGCATGAGCATCGATCTGCGCATTGGGAACCGATGACATTTTTCAAAATGAAAATAGTAATTACTTACATATGTATGCAAATTATATTAAGGAAGCGTTTATGCGACATAGCACATTATTATTGGAAATATATATAAATATGTTCTAGTTATTGTGCATATCATTCCTTTGTATTATACATTGTACATGGGGCCTTCCTACTGAATAATATATGTTGTCAGACACGAGATTCGACTAACCCACCGCCCCCTTGTGCAGGAAGAGGATGGTTAATGCTTTCTACCAATTCGTTCGCACATAATGATGAACGATACACTCACATTATACACGCTGTGTAAATCCATAACCATGCGTTGTTATATCACGCTGTTTCATTCACCAGATATACGCCTCAATACCCCCACAAGTTGTCATGTGTCACTCTACATTAACAGCCAGGGGCGTAGCTACCATTATAAAAAAGCCCGGGCTTACACATAATTTTTTTTCTAAAGATCAGCGTGAAAGTTGGGAAAGCACTCAATACTATCTAATTATAAAGCTTGGCAACCTATTGGGCTTACACGAAAAAAACATGGCGTGCTACTCGCCTGACATCCTCGATAACCTCCAGGGTATACGTTACGATCACTCTCCAACTATACCCTGGATACATCCACGGCTTGGCCCGATGATAATATTACCTCCCTTTGGTGGCTCAGCATTCTCACAGTAGCCAATCAGCTAAGCCGCCGTTACATCCGAGCTTCCCAGTGTCAACAAAGATAGCGATGCAAGCCGTGGATGCATCCAGGTTATAGTGGAAAGTGATCGTAACGTATACCCTGGAGATTATCGAGGATGCTCGCCTGACAGCACGAATATGCAGTCAGGCCATAACACTGTAAACATGCACCGGATAGATTACACTTCAAGTATGTTAGTCACGTGTCATCTGCCGGAAGTGACCTCTGTGACACATCGGAGGAAGACATTTGTCTAGGTAGGTGTGTTGTAACTGTCTCTCTTCTCGCAGGCCAGTGCACGGTTATCTGTCTGGTCCAACATTTGCTAGTATATGTCACGATGCCACGTTGTTACTGCTTGTGGTACAAATACCATGTCCGTACAATGTAAATCCTGTATATTTGAGATACGTAACAACAACAAATTTCTACTTTCGTTGTACGATGATGGCAGCTTGCCACTCATACCCGCGCTGACTCACCGTAATTGTGTCATATGGAGACGGACAAGCCTATATTTGGCTTGTTTAAAAGTACGTTTTGTACAAAATCGAATCAGCCAGCTACTCACATACGCCACGACACACCGTCTTTGTGTCATATCGTGCACCGACAAAGTCGTGTCGTGTCGCTTTAGTTCAAAAGTGCGCTATACACAAAATCTAACCAGCTACTACTGCGCCGATGTTGAAAGCACGGAAAGATCTGTTGAATGAATAGCTTTCTTATTGTTGTCGTGTTGAAAAGACTGCACTGCAAGGGTATACGTTGTATGGATATACATGGCCAGGGATCTCTCGATGTTACCGAACCGCCTCGCCTCTGTGTGTTGTGGATAGAATGTGGATATGTTGTTTCTAGCTTTCTTATTGTTGTCGTGATGTAAAGACTGCACTGCAAGGGTATACGTTGTATGGATATATATGGCCAGGGATCTCTCGGTTTTACCGAACCGCCTCGCCTCTGTGTGTTGTGGATAGAATGTGGATATGTTGTCGGGCGACCAGTATTTCGTGGACTTAAAGGAAGACAAGCATATACAGACACGGAGTAGTACTAATCAACAGGCGTCAGTTCTGGAAAGAAACAGCCTGTCGCGTGTTGTAATTTGTAAGTTTTGTTGCTGTTTCTTGTTTGGTGTGAAACGCTGCAGTCGGCAATATTCCAGCTGTATGATGATAGTCTGAAATTATTCAAGACTGGACCAGGCAATCCAGTGATCAACTGCATTATCATACAATGGATAGTGTTCTCGGCAGGTTAAAGCACACTGATATTTTCGGTATCCGTTGGGGTCATATACGGATATCAATGCAAATTAGAGAGGTCATATGCAAATTTCAGGGACTACTTTCACAGTGTAAACAAACATGGCGTCAAGGGTCGGCGGTCGTGTCCGGTCGTGTATCGCCAAGGCTCGCTAAATACAATGATTATTCCTAATGCAGGATATTAACCATCCCAAAACACACTCGCGTGATTACCTATATTTATCATCCACGGAATTTGGATACAATAACATGTGTCGACCAAGTCAGAGATCCTGACCACCCGATGCCGTTAGTCGACTCTTGCGACTTTTTCTAACGCGGATCTTCACTGTTTGTTGTTTTCCTATATGTGTCTCCGAGCACCTTTATTATATTTAATTAATCTAACATATAATTAATATAAAGGAAAACTGATTTCTATGGATAGTCAACTTCTTTATTGCAATGAGTGCGACGCACTCCATTGCAATAAAGAAGTTGACTATCCATAGAAATCAGTTTTCCTTCATCTTCACAACTTCTAAAATGCCTCTCAAAGAAATAATTAATATAGTTTAGGAATCATCAGTCCTGAAAATATGTGAATGTCAGACACTAGTTGTTATTCTACAATGAGGCTAACTCAACAAGACACTGTGTTGAGGACACAGACATATGTCTTATTTGAAATAGTTGGACAAGCGGACAATGCAAAGTTGGAATACATGAAATGCTTAATATGTCTTTTAACACATCAGGAATACGTTTTTACAAAATGTTACATCGGCGTTATGGTACATTCTTCAATGAATATAGAAAATATAGGAAAGAGATCGGTCGATCAGGGCTTGTACATCGCAATAACCACCTTTGAAAAAACAGGTGTTGTAACGACTGCGTTGTCACGAAGTGAAATGTCTATAGACAAGTACTTGAAATATGAACATGTGTAATTACAGATTAAAACGTTCAGTGTTTGACTATTGCATGGCACAAACGAAACTGTTTGATAGATAGATACTGACCAGGCCCGAATATTTCTAGTTTGTGGCAGAAAGGAAGATTTTAAAATGGCGCTTTTAAGATTTCTACTGTGGACTCAAATGCCTTGGTCTCAATCAGCGATTTGACGTTCGGTATAAAATTGAGATGTTTGCTAACTGTTCTTTGGGTGCCAACTATATGTTGGTTTCCAAACTACCTATCTCACCATAAAGGGAAATATAACAGAGATCACTCATTAAAGTCTACTGTCTTTCAGAATGGACATCTTCCCCAAGTGTTCTGTCTGTCATCAGCAGTTTGTCTTCAAAGGTCCCGCCCCCTACCTACTGCCCTGCCTACACGCGGTGTGTGAGACGTGTGTGAGATCTGCAGCTGCTGGTGTGATAGCATGCTCTTCTTGTCAGACGGAGGTCAACCTCACAGATACAAGGCTCAAGAAGGATGCAGTGAGACAGAAGGAAGTATTCCATCTGACAGTCCAACATCGCCCCACAGAGCTTCTCTGTACACACGAAGATGACGGCACCCAGGCTGTGTGTTGGTGTCGGGAGTGTGAAGAGCTCCTCTGTGAATACTGCCAGAATATGCACAGCAGCTTCAAACTGACCAGAAAACATGTACTTCAAAACCTCAGCGACTTTAAACCAGTTATCTCAAACATTCCAACCCCCTGCAGTATCCACAGCCCTGATTCTCTTTATCTTTTTGATCGGAGATGCAACATTTTGATTTGTGGACGATGCAGATTTGAAGGTCACGCAGATCATGAAGTTGAGAAGTTAGATGTGGTAGCTGAAAGTATCCTCAAACAGTTGGACCAACACAAAACTGAGCTGGCAACCTTACAAGCTCACCAACAGTCCAACATTCAGAATATCAGACGAGGGACCGAAATCACAGATACAACGAGCAATACGTTGACAGAAAATATTGGCCATACTTTCAGAACTCTGCGAGCACAACTTGAACAAAGAGAGAAGGAACTTCTGACTGATCTTGACGGTCAGACGAAGGGGGCCAAGACAACTCTCCGTACTCGGCTAAACACATGTGAAGAAGCTTCGAAGAAATGCTCTGAGGTTTTAGACTACGTCACCAAGGTTCTCACGTATGCCTCGCAATCAGACCTCCTGGAGTTGGAGAGTTCTGTAAGGGAGGCAACTCGGGCTTTCCTTGACACTGCTGAGACTCAAACACAGGACATACCCGCAGCTGTCTTTAACACCAACGGCTTGTCAAAGCTGAAATCAAACATATCACGATTTGGGGCCGTCGTGACCAAGGAATTGGAAGAAGAATATGCAAGAGGTATTTATATGATTGCACGTTCTTTTGTATTGCGAGAAGAACTGGAAGAGCGTTCTATAGTGCTTACAGATACGCTATTCTTATGGATTCACAATACCATTTAGAAAGTGGTCAGACGTAACATTTGTTGTATTTGAGATTACACTTTCTCAGTAAATTACAGATTCTAGAACTTTGGGGGTTCTAGAATGTATGCTTTACTTATAAGTGTCTGCCCTAGTACATCATGTTACATTTGGCTACTTTCAAAATGGCATTGTCTATTTATAGCCGTCGGCCATGTGAGTCGTGTCAATTTATATTTGTCAGATGGGTACACAAAGTACGTGGTCTAGTCTACCAGTTGTCAGATGGGTACACAAATAAAGTACGTTGTCTAGTCTACCAGATGTCAGATGGGTACACAAAGTACATGGTCTAGTCTTCCAGTTGTCAGATGGGTACACAAAGTACGTTGTCTAGTCTACCAGTTGTCAGATGGGTACATAAAGTACGTGGTCTAGCCTACCACTTGTCAGAGGGGTACACAAATAAAGTACGTGGTCTAGTCTACCAGTTGTCAGAGGGGTACACAACGTACGTCGTCTAGTCTACCAGTTGCCAGATGGGTACACAAAGTACGTCGTCTAGTCTACCAGATGTCAGAGGGGTACACAAATAAAGTGCGTCGTCTAGTCTACCAGTTTTCAGAGGGGTACACGAAGTACGTCGTCTATTCTACCAGTTGTCAGAGGGGTACACAAATAAAGTATGTCGTCTAGTCTACCAGTTGTCAGAGGGGTACACAAAGTACATGGTCTAGTCTACCAGTTGTCAGAGGGGTACACAAAGTACATGGTCTATTCTACCAGATCTCAGACTTCCATTTTTATGGAAACTGCGTTGGCTGAGTGGGTTAGATCGCTGACATTATGTGACTGGGTGCCTGACTCTGAGAGTGTGGGTTCAAATCTCGGCTAAACTCACCCAAACAACAAGTAGTAGAATTTGTGCTTTACTGGGAAAGTGTAATCCCAAATATAACATGTGACACATCATACTTAGCAACTCGAGTTTCTTGCTCCAAAATCACAAATATTGTACTTAAAGCACAGGTTGCAGGTATGTGTTCTCACAATGCCAGTTTCTAATCAACCGGTTGTGTTAAATACTTAACATACACGCACTTCATAAACACATGTCCATAATAGATTTGGAATTTTACAATCAAGATCTCTAAATGGATGTCTCGCCCCTCGCAGTTGTAATATTGATGATGCGGCGTAAAACACTAATCATTCATTCATTCATTCGTATGTATGTATGTGTGTGTGTGTGTGTGTGTGTGTATGTATGTACTGACATTTATATGTACATCATTGTGTTGTTTCAGACAGGGAAACTCAAACTGAACATGACTTCATAGCTGAGATGGTAATCAAATATAAGAACGTGAGTTTGGTAATTTAAATAATATAATGTGCCATAACCCCTAACGAAGAGCGTATGAGAGAGTATGTATGACTACAAAGTATTAAATGTACTAGAACCAATTAAAATGTAAGACAACGATCTAAAACATTTTGAATCCGTTTTCAGAAGTACATGTCCATAATTACCTATCTAATGTCTACAGCACATCGCTCGCCGCGAATAGCTGTAATATTGCTGATGCGGGGTTGAGGAACAATTATTCATTCGTTCATTTTCATTCATTCATTCATTCAGCACATCGGAAAACTGAACATTGACTGAGACAAAAACAAAATCGAAATACATGCAAGCTAAATACCAGATGTAACAACCTGAGACTGATATGATTTTTAAATATTCACTTCATTGTAAAGAAGTACATGGTAGCATCAGTTATTTTAGAGGTATTCGTTCACAACAAAGTGGGCACAATTCATGGATAGCAATTTCTTAGCTATAACATTATAATTTCGTGCTTTCAAGTTTACACAGATTCCCGAACGTTCGTTGGTTGAGAGAGCGGTCATGTGATCTAAATTTCAAGTTTCATTACTCTTGAACCCCTCTAATCGTTCATACTTGTGTAAACACCGTTCATACGATGTGTGAACGTTTTCGCTTCGGTTTCAAGGACCCCCAATAATTGGTGATGCCAATTCGCGCGAACGAACCTGTTTCAAGTCACCCCAAGTTTGGCAATGTCATCACTACCAAACGGATTGCCGAACATTGTCTTTTCACAGGAGTTTAATGTTTCGCAGTTTGCGGGTTCATATGGCGGTTTTCTGCCCGAGGTCTGTTTAACAACTGCTCAATAAATTTCACAATAAATAATCAAAATAAATAGAATACAACAAGATCAGCTTCCTATTCGCCACGCCGCACAACTACGAAGTCGGTCAGTGTATTATTACGCGGTCAAACAAGGTATTTACAAGTGAAAAGGTACAATGCTATTGTTATTGCTTCTGATATTTGTTTCTGTTTGATGCTGTTATTGATGTTATACTTATTAAAGCAGTTTCAAACCCCATAACGAATTTGTTGTTATATTTTAAAGATCGGATACTTTGAGAACTATTTCTTCAAGGGTTGGGATACATGTGTAAAGAAAATCGCTGTGTATACAAACATCGCTGCAATACGTACGTTCTTGAACCGAATGGCATTACTACATTTTCCAGGTATTAAAACACACTAAACAATGATCATCTACAAATGGGTGGAAAACGTATGTGTAAACTTAAAAGTGCGAAATTATAAGAATTGAATGTCAGTTCGTAAACTCGCTCGTTCACACGAGTTTGAACACCGCTTTGACATCGTTCATTTTTCAGTGCAAACACACAAACTGACATTCAATTCTTAAATAGCGACTACACGTCATGGACCCTTATAACGTTGTCAGGCCACTGTATGGGAATCCGGAAACATCGCTATGGAAGTAGATAAAAGTCATATTCGTTGCATCGTGTGTTCTTTGTTAAGTTTAATTCAAAACATTTTAGATATTTTTGTACCTACCTATCACCTACCTCCCTATGTGCCCCGACCTCCCTACCTACGTATAATAATTAATGATTAATGATTATCCTTTCAGACCATCGATGACATCAAGAAGAGAGCCTCAGACACCATCGATTTCATTCTTGGTAAAGTCCAGTCACCTTTGTTCCTTTACTTTCTTCGTTCAGATAACTGAGTCCAGGTATTAACACTAAAATGTTGGCCTGTGTGTTGGCTTTATTATTGACATTCACTACAAGATATAAAAATGTTGTTTTATCAAAGTGATGGGAATGTTGATGTTGCAGGGCTGAGCAATGAATGCGATGTTCACCTGCTGAAACCAGACGTCTTGGACAAGTCGATGGTGCTGAAGTGTACGTTCATAATCTACCCATTTACAATGTATGCTTAAACTGCGATGTCGAGTGGTTCAGCTAAATTAGCAATTCCAAAGTATTCGATAGTCGAATATTCGTTAATACACCTGTTTTACTAATAAGCTATATGCAAGGATATGGATTCTTTGTTGTTTAACGCCGCAATCGGCAATATTTCAGCAATATGGCGGCGATCTGTAAAACAATCCAGTGGTCAACAGCACTGGCATTGATCTACGCAACTGGGATACGATACCATGTATCAACCAAGTCAGCGAGCCTGACCACCCCATCCCGTTGCATCTTACGACAAGCACAGGTTACTGAAGGCCAATTCTAACCCGGACCTTCACGCTTCTTTAATAATATGTAACTTCAGTGTTTGTTATCCTGCTTCAACGAACCATTTTCCAAGCTGTCCGCCACTTACCTGCGACAAGTTTCAGTCTCTGACTGGCCTTAGTTATATGTATATATGGAATATTGGTACCCGCTGTGTCCAGAGAATGTCCCTCGGCTATATTATACCTTAAGGGTCAGTGTAACCAAAAGCACCACCTTCTGAGTAACGTTAATCAGAACTAGTCAGTTCCACTCCAGTGCTATCAGTTCCACTCCAGTGCTATCAGTTCCGCTCCAGTGCTATCAGTTCCACTCCAGTGCTATCAGTTCCGCTCCAGTGCTATCAGTTCCACTCCAGTGCTATCAGTTCCATTCCAGTGCTATCAGTTCCACTCCAGTCCTATCAGTTCCACTCCAGTGCTATCAGTTCCGCTCCAGTGTTATCAGTTCCATTCCAGTGCTATCAGTACCATTCCAGTGCTATCAGTTCCACTCCAGTGCTATCAGTCCTATTTCAGTGCTATCAGTTCCACTCCAGTGCTATCATTTCCATTTGCAGTGCTATCATTTCCACTCCAGTGCTCTCAGTACCATTCCAGTGCAATCAGTTCCATTCCAGTGCTATCAGTTCCACTCCAGTGCTATCAGTTCCGCTCCAGTGCTATCAGTTTCACTCCAGTGCTATCAGTTCCATTCCAGTGCAATCAGTTCCACTCCAGTGCTATCAGCTCCACTCCAGTGCTATCAGATCCACTCCAGTGCTATCAGTTCCACTCCAGTGCTATCAGTTCCACTCCAGTGCTATAAGTCCTATTTCAGTGCTATCAGTTCCACTCCAGTGCTATCAGTTCCATTCCAGTGCTATCATTTCCACTCCAGTGCTATCAGTACCATTCCAGTGCTATCAGTTCCACTCCAGTGCTATCAGTTCCATTCCAGTGCTATCAGTTCCGCTCCAGTGCTATCAGATCATCTCCAGTGCTATCAGTTCCACACCAGTGCTATCAGATCCACTCGAGTGCTATCAGTTCTACTCCAGTGCTAACAGTTCCGCTCTAGTGCTATCAGTTCCGCTCCAGTGGTATCAGTTCTACTCTCCACTCCTGTGCTATCACGATACCAGGCAGAGAAATAGGTTCCAAAACAAACGTTCATTATATCCATGAGTTCGTTATAAGCGTGTACGTTATACACGTGGTTTACGGTAGAGTTCATGCCCTCGGCGCCGAGCACCAGGTGAAGACTTACAATAAACATTCAATCAAACGCACAACGTTAGGAGCGGTTTCGTCATGATTTGCACGTTCTTGGCCGTCGCCTATTCGATTTCGTACCTGAACTACTGGTCGGTTGAGTTAATAGTTTTAGGGCGACGTAGACCAACACAGTGACTTGACGTAATATAAATCATCAGGTATTGTAATGCCAGAAGACATTTAGATAGCATAAAGGAGACGTCAGCATTATCAATATTTATTTTGATACACGTATACATAAAACTCTGCTTCATTTTACGGATTAAAACCTTCCATCACTTCCATTTCCGAAACATGAAATACTCATTCAATAAAAACGCAGTAGGTCAACAAGATATAAAATCACAGCAGAACTAAATCTGTCTAAGACATTTGAGAGCCTGTCAAATTACATCATATTTTCCATGTGATGAGAGACAAAATCTAAAGCCGTCCGTTGCACTTACCCATGTATGATATCGGGGCCCAAAACTGTTAAACCATCATTTAATTTCAAGTACAGCACTTCTGATATTTGTTTGTATGTTGTTATTCACAAGACATGTAATTAGAGAGTGTTCAATATTTTCAGGGGTCTCCAAATTGCAATGGCCACATTCTGAAGAGACCGCCTCTTCAATAATACTCATGTAGGCATTTAGCCCACAGTTTCCAAAACGGAGACGTGTCAGAATGACCTCCTCAATCCTTTTACAGCGACGAATTTTATGACCAGATGGTCTAAGTTTGTACATATGTCGGCCGGTAGTACCCGCATCCCAAAATGTTGCCAACTCCTTGAAACCGATTTCAATAAACCAGTTTCAAAATCTTTAGGACTTGGCTGAAATTTTAATACATCAACTTCAGAATATTGTTACTGAAATCAGTTTTGTTTTCTGAATCAGTGACAACAGATGAGTGTCTGCTAGACTGGTCACTCCACTATATTACATTCAGTTCACCCGATGTGTATGTGACAGGGCTTGAAATAATATACAGATAGCAGCTTGCTTACGTAGTTTGCCCCCGGAGAGCGGAAGGTCGCGGGTTCGATCCCCGACCCCGTCATACCAATAAGACGTTAAAATATGGTACTTGTTGGTCCCTGCCTGACGCTCGGCATTAATGGGTACAACAAGGATTGGTCGGCTCAGAGTCAGTATAATGTGTCTGAGTGGGGTATCCATGCTTCACTGCGGCATGGTATCTCAGTGGGCTAGCACTATAAAACCATGTTCAGTCTGGGCTAGTACAAGCAGCCGCAATACGTACACATACACGCATGCACGTCGTCATATGAGCGAAATATTCTCAAGCACGACGTTAAACCCAATTTCACCTCACCTCACGTAGTTTGCCCCTGTGGTCAATCTTTGATCAAAACTAACCCTTACGCTTTGTTTTTTTTTAAAGTAATTTTCTGAAGCTTATGTTTTGCTCGTTTGTTTGTTCAGCTTGATTAACGTTGCATTCAGCAATATTCCAGCTATGTGACGGCGGTTTGGAAATATTCAGACAATCCAGTGATTGACATCATGAGCATCTAATCAGCGTTTATGTGTTGTAGGTATACATCTGAAGTATGACACAGATAAAATTAACCTTGACTGCACCCACATCAACACAGAGGGGGACTTGATCAACAGCCAGTCTGACACCAGCTCTGCAGGGAAAGGGAGACTGAAGAAGTACTGGGGCACATGCAGCACTATCCCCCTCCCCTTGGTTGATTGTCGCCAGTACTGGGAGACGAAGACCAGGGTCGGACTGGACACAACACTCACAGGGAGCAATCTCATCCTGGAGGTTGGTGTCTGTGCTGAGGGAGAGATGGACATGACTCCCTTTGTAGCCGGTCGTCCTCATGCCTACAGTTTGATCGTCCACCACTGTACTACTCACAAAGGGATATGCAAGAAAATCAGGAAGGAGGGAAAGGTTGTGTTACATCTACCTGACACCATCCCCAACACAGCAGGGACATCACACACACTACACTACGGTGTTGTCTATGATGACGCCAGGAAGAAGATTGTCTTCATTGATGTGAAGGAGAACAAGGTGATGTCGACGTTAGACAATGTAGACTCCAGTCAAACCTGGTGGCCGATGTTCGGGGTGTATAACCCATCTATCGTCACTGTCAGCATGAGACTTGTGGTGGGCCGTGACATCAACATGACGGAGGAAAAGAAAGCCATGATTGTCAAGGCGCTGTCGTGATGAGGCATGCTAAAGGTGGGCATGGTGGTGAGTATGATCACACCCAGATACGTATGTATCAACATGACAGAGGAGAAGAAAGCTCTAGTTATAAGACATTGTCATGATGCCATTTTACGACACCGGCGGCCATGGTGGTGAGTAAGAACACACGGAGATATGTACCAACGATATCAACATGACGGGGGAGAAGAAAACTCTACTTATAAGATACTGCCATGATGCCATGTTATGACACATGTGAAATGTGTCAGTGACACTGTCAGTCCAGCCATACTGTCCACATTATGTATATCTTGATGTCGTGGGTATAAACACGCTTTAAAACAACAAGTTATGAATGTGAAATGTGTTAGTGACACTGTCAGTCCAGCCACACTGTACACATTATGTATATCTTGATGTCGTGGGTATAAACTCGCTTTAAAACAACAAGTTATGAATGTGAAATGTGTTAGTGACACTGTCAGTCCAGCCACACTGTACACATTATGTATATCCTGATGTCGTGGGTATAAACTCGCTTTATAACAACAAGTTATGAACGTTAAATTTGTTAGTAACACTGTCAGTCCAGCCATACTGTACACACTATCTATACCCTGATGTCGTGGGTATAAACTCGCTTTATAACAACAAGTTATGAACGTTAAATTTGTTAGTGACACTGTCAGTCCAGCCATACTGTACACATTATCTATATATTGATGTCGTGGGTATAAACTCGCTTTAAAACAACAAGTTATGAATGTGAAATGTGTTAGTGACACTGTCAGTCCAGCCACACTGTACACATTATGTATATCCTGATGTCGTGGGTATAAACTCGCTTTATAACAACAAGTTATGAACGTTAAATTTGTTAGTAACACTGTCAGTCCAGCCATACTGTACACATTATGTATATCCTGATGTCGTGGGTATAAACTCGCTTTATAACAACAAGTTATGAACGTTAAATTTGTTAGTGACACTGTCAGTCCAGCCATACTGTACACGTTATCTATATATCCTGATGTCGGGGACATAAACTCGCTTTGAAACAACAAGTTATGAATGTGGTACCAGTTGTCACAGGGGTACACAAAGTACATGGTCTAGTCTACCAGTTGTCAGAGGGATACACAAATAAAGTACGTCGTCTAGTCTACCAGATGTCAGATGGGTACACAAAGTACATGGTCTAGTCTACCAGATGTCAGAGGGGTACACAAAGTACATGGTCTAGTCTACCAGTTATCAGAGGGGTACACAAAGTACATGGTCTAGTCTACCAGTTGTCAGAGGGGTACACAAATAAAGTACGTCGTGTAGTCTACCAGTTGTCAGATGGGTACACAAAGTACATGGTCTAGTCTACCAGATGTCAGATGGGTACACAATGTACATGGTCTAGTCTACCAGTTGTCAGAGGGGTACACAAATAAAGTACGTCGTCTAGTCTACCAGATGTCAGATGGGTACACAAAGTACATGGTCTAGTCTACCAGATGTCAGAGGGGTACACAAAGTACATGGTCTAGTCTACCAGATGTCAGACTTCCATTTTTTATGGAAACCGCGTTGGCTGAGTGCGTTAGATCGCTGACATTATTATGTGACTGGGTGCCTGACTCTGACAGTGTGGGATCAAATCTCGGCTAAACTCAAACAAACAACAAATAGTAGAATTTGTGCTTTACTGGGAAAGTGTAATCCTAAATATAACATGTGACACATCATTCTTAGCAACTCGAGTTTCTTGATCCAAAAGCACAAATATTGTACTTAAAGCACGGGTACGTGTTCTCACAATGCCAGTTTCTAATCAACCGGGTTGTGTTAAATACTTAAAATACACGCACTTCATAAACACATGCCCATAATAGATTGGGAATTTTACAATCAAGATTTCTAAATGGATGTCTCGCCCCTCGCAGCTGTAATATTGATGATGCGGCGTAAAACACTAATCATTCATTCATTCGTATGTATGTATGTGTGTGTTTTGTGTGTGTATTGTTTTGTTTTTTTTATTATTGTGATGTGTGTGTGTGTGTGTGTATGTATGTATTGGCATTTATATGTACATCATGGTGTAGTTTCAGACAAGGAAACTCAAACTGAACATGACTTCATGGCTGAGATGGAAATCAAACATGAGAAGGTGAGTTTGGTAATTAAAATAATGTAATGTACTATAACCGCTAAAGAAGAGCGTATGAGAGAGTATGTATGACTACAAAGTATTAAATGTACTAGAACCAATTAAAATGTAAGACAACGATCTAAAACATTTTGAATCCGTTTTCAGAAGTACATGTCCATAATTACCTATCTAATGTCTACAGCCCATCGCTCGCCGCGAATAGCTGTAATATTGCTGATGCGGGGTTAAGGAATAATTATTCATTCATTCATTCATTCATTCACTCATTCATTCATTCATTCATTCATTTATTCATTCATTCATTCATTCATTCATTCATTCATTCATTCATTCATTCATCCATTCATTCATTCACTCATTCATTCATTCATTCATTCATTCAGCACATCGGAAAACTGAACATTGACTGAGGCAAAAACAAAATCGAAATACATGCAAGCTAAATACCAGATGTAACAACCTGAGACTGATATGAATTTTAAATATTCACTTCATTGAAAAGAAGTACATGGTAGCATCAGTTATTTTAGAGGTATTCGTTCACAACAAAGTGGGCACAATTCATGGATAACAATTTCTGAGTTATAACATTATAGCGACTACACGTCATAGACCCTTATAACGTTGTCAGGCCACTGTATGGGAATCCGGAAACAGGGCTATGGAAGTAGATAAAAGTTATATTCGGTGCTTCGTGTGTTCTTTGTCAAGTTTAATTCAAAATATTTTAGATATTTTTGTACCTACCTATCACCTACTTCCCTATGTGCCCCGACCTGCCTACCTACGTATAATAATTAATTATTATTGATTATCCTTTCAGACCATCGATGACATCAAGAAGAGAGCCCCAGACACCATCGATTTCCTGCTTGGTAAAGTCCAGTCACCTTTGTTCCTTTACTTTCTTCGTTCAGATAACTGAGTCCAGGTTTTAACACTAAAATGTTGGCCTGTGTGTTGGCTTTATTATTGAGATTCACTACAAGATATGAAAATGTTGTTTTATCAAAGTGATGGCAATGTTGGTGTTGCAGGGCTGCTCAATGAATTCTATGTTCACCTGCTGAAACCAGACGCCGTGGACAAGTCGATGGTGCTGAAGTGTACGTTCATAATCTACCCATTTACAATGTATGCTTAAACTGCGATGTCTGAACCTATTGTTCGAGTGGTTCAGCTGTATTAGCCATTCCAAAGTATTCGATAGTCGAATATTCGTTAATACACCTGTTTTACTAATAAGCTATATACAAGGATATGGTTTCTTTGTCGTTTAACGCCGCAATCGGCAATATTTCAGCCATATGGCGGCGGTCTGTAAAATTATCAAGTGGTCAACAGCATTGGCATCGATCTACGCAACTGGTATACGATACCATGTGTCAACCAAGTCAGGGAGCCTGACCACCCGATCCCGTTAATTGCCTCTTACGACAAGCACAAGTTACTGAGGGCCAATTCTAACCCGGACCTTCACGCTTCTTTAATAACATGTAACCTCAGTGTTTGTTATCCTGCTTCAACGAACCATTTTCCTAGCTGTCCGCCACTTACCTGCGACAAGTTTCAGTCTCTGACTGGCCTTAGTTTTATGTGTATATGGAATATTGGTACCCGCTGTGTCCAGAGAATGTCCCTCGGCTATATTATACCTTAAGGGTCAGTGTAACCTAAAGCACCACCTTCTGAGTAACGTTAATCAGAACTGCTAGCTCCAGTGCTATCGTTCCGCCCAAGTGCTATCAGTTCCGCTCCAGTGCTATCAGTCCGCTCCATCAGTTTCAGTGCTATCAGTTCAATTCCAGTGCTATCAGTTCCGCTAGTGCTATCAGTTCGCTCCAGTCAGTTCCATTCCAGTGCTATCAGTTCCACTCCAGTGCTATCAGTTCCTATCAGTTCCATTCCAGTGCTATCAGTATCAGTGGTATCAGTCCCGCTCCAGTGCTATCAGTTCTAGTGCTATCAGTTCCACTCCAGTGCTATCAGTTCCGCTCCAGTGCTATCAGTTCCATTCCAGTGCTATCAGTTCCATTCCAGTGGTATCAGTCCAGTGCTATCAGTTCAATTCCAGTGGTATCAGTTCCACTCCAGTGCTATCAGCAGTGCTATCAGTTCCACTCCAGTGCTATCAGTTCCACTCCAGTGCTATCAGTTCCACTCCAGTGCTATCAGTTCCGCTCCAGTGCTATCAGTTCCACTCCAGTGGTATCAGTTCCACTCCAGTGCTATCAGTTCCACTCCAGTGCTATCAGTTCCGCTCCAGCTATCAGTTCCAGTCCAGTGCTATCAGTTTCCACAGTCCCGCCAGTGCTATCAGTTATCAGTTTCTCCAGTGCTATCAGTTCCATTCCAGTGCTATCAGTTCCGCTCCAGTGCTATCAGTTCCACTCCAGTGCTATCAGTTCGGCTAGGTTCCAAACTGCCTACATCCCAAACTGCCAAAAAGAATATTGTAGGCAGCGTGGGAAATGATTTTTTGCCCTGTAGAATAATGGAACAGCCCAATTATCATTGAAGAAGGGATGTGTCGTTTGGAGTAAGGTAGTAGTAGTTATTTGCTTTATATAATGTAGCACACACAGCTAAGGTATTCCGGTGACAGGGTAGTACACGTATTATGAAATGAGGGGAACAAAAAATAGAAATTTTGAAAGATTGGTGTTACTACCAAAAAAAACCCCTCAACAATTGAGTATTAAGGGAAATTTGAATCGGATGCCGAATTAAAAAGGTAAAAAGAAATATGAAATAGGTAATAGATTTTGAACTTAATATAGACGTGGTGTAGTAAATGGTTATTGTTATTGTATTTTTTAACCAACCCGTGTTTAAAAACATATTTATTAAGTGAATAATGACAAATGTATAAAAGGTAAAAAAATGAACTTGATAAAAAGAGAGAACTGATTTAAAAAGTTAAAAGAAGATATATACATATTTATAACAAGTTTTAAATTGGTAAAAAATGGTACTATTGTTTTTGTTGCTAGATTGTTTGTTATAATTTTGTATGAATGAGATATTTAGTGAGTGGTTTAATTAATTTGGAATTTGTTAGAATGTGCTTGAAATCAGAAGAGTACTACTAGTTTTGGTATCTGTACACCCCCAAAAGACGTTAAACAATCCTATAATCTCCCGGCAAACTCCAGTATCTTCAAAGCAGAACTCGCAGCTATAGTTAACACCATCTGACCAAACAAACACTGCCATCTGCATTTTTACGGATTCCTTAAGCTACATACGGGCTTTCATAAATTACTCTACAACAAAAAGACCATAAGATCTAATAAATAACATATACAGGAGAATACTATACCACCAAAACAACAATATTCAAATACATTTTATCTGGGTCCCGTCACATATCGGAGTCCATGGCAACGAAATGGACATCCTTGTGCAGTAATTGTGCGTAGACTGTGAAACCAGTAAAAGACTGCAAAACTTATCAGTTTTTCATGATATATAGAGAATCTCACCCGAGTGTGTTTTGATATCAGATATATCACCACGAGTTGATAAAGAAACAAATATCCGAGGCTTGCCGAGGATATTTATACTTTTTATCAACGAGTGTTGATATATTTATCATAAAAATCACTCTTTATTAGTTTTCAATGAAAAATGTACATCTCTGAAAAACAGTATCTACTGCCATTAGATTTGCAGTGCAGCGATGTCATAATACTGTAGGCAGTATGGGAATACGCCATCAGTTCCGCTCCAGTGCTATCAGTTCCACTCCAGTGCTATCAGTTCCGCTCCAGTGCTATCAGTTCCACTCCAGTGCTATCAATCAGTCCAGTGCTATCAGTTCCGCTCTATGCTAGTTCCATTCCAGTGCTATCAGTTCCATCTCCAGTGCTATCAGTTCCAGTGCTATCAGTTCCACTCCAGTGCTATCAGTTCCACTAAAGTGCTATCAGTTCCGCTCCAGTGCCAGTGCTTTCAGTTCCATTCCAGTGCTATCAGTTCTATCGTTCCGCTCCAGTGCTGTCAGTTCCACTCCAGTGCTATCAGTTCCACTCCAGTGCTATCAGATCCACTCCAGTGCTATCAGTTCCGCTCCAGTGCTATCAGTTCTGCTCCAGTTCCACTCCAGTGCTATCAGTCACGCTCCAGTGTTATCAGTTCTACTCTCCATTCCTGTGCTATCACGATACCAGACAGAGAAATGGGTTCCAAAACAAACGTTCGTTATATCCATCAGTTCGTTATAAGCGTGTACGTTATACACGTGGTTTACTGTAGAGTTCATGCCCTCGGCGCCGAGCACCAGGTGAAGACTTACAATAAACATTCAATCAAACGCACAACGTTAGGAGCGGTTTCGTCATGATTTGCACGTTCTTGGCCGGCGCCTATTCGATTTCGTACCTGAACTACTGGTCGGTTGAGTTAATAGTTTTAGGGCGACGTGGACCAACACAGTGACTTGACGTAATATAAATCATCAGATATTGTATTGCCAAAAGTCATTTATATAGCATAAAGGAGACGTCAGCATTATCAATATTTATTTTGATACACGTATACATAAACCTCTGCTTCATTTTACGGATTAAAACCTTCCATCACTTCCATTTCCGAAACATGAAATACTCATTCAATAAAAACGCAGTAGGTCAACAAGATATAAAATCACAGCAGAACTAAATCTGTCTAAGACATTTGAGAGCCTGTCAAATTACATCATATTTTCCATGTGATGAGAGACAAAATCTAAAGCTGCCCGTTGCACTTACCCATGTATGATATCGGGGCCCAAAACTGTTATACCATCATTTAATTTCAAGTACAGCACTTCTGATATGTGTTTGTATGTTGTTATTCACAAGACATGTAATTAGAGAGTGTTCAATATTTTCAGGGGTCTCCAAATTGCAATAGCCACATTCAGAAGAGACCGCCTTATCAATAGGGCTTGCGCAATATAACCTGGAGACCGGTATTTACCGGTTCAGACATTAAAACGATACGTACTGCGATACGCTGATCGGAAACCGGTATTTGACATGCAATCGGAAAACTTTAACACTCAAATCTTCGGATATTTCCGTTTTAAATTGTTCCTTTCCTTGTTTCAGCCAAAATGACCTCATCAATTTTGTCATGATTAAAAGTTTTTATTACTAATCAAGCGACGAATTTTAAATGACGACTATAAGATGGTCTAAGTTTGTACATATGTAATATATCGCCGGCAATACTCTCCCTAGTACCCATAGCAAGGCATTTCCAAAACCCGTGTCAGAATGACCTCAAAACAGCGACGAATTTTTGCCAACTCCTTGAAACCGATTTCCAATTTCAAACCAGTTTCAAAATCTTTAGGACTTGGCTGAAATTTTAATACATCAACTTCAGAATATTGTAATCATGATTTGACTTCACTAAATAATACTAAATCAGGTGTTAAAATTTCATGAGCATGATTATATATTCTTCTGTTATTGTTATTGTTTACGTGTTACATGTTGTTACTGTTTCCCATCCGTCTTGATAATGCTGAGCAAGTATAATTCAGTAATTTGAATTTCAACAAAACATATTTGAGATACAGCAGCAGCATCCTGAAATCAGTTTTGTTTTCTGAATCAGTGACAACAGATGAGTGTCTGCTAGACTGGTCACTCCACTTAGTTACATTCAGTTCACCCGATGTTTATGTGACAGGGCTTGAAATAATATACAGATGTCAGCTTGCTTTATGTAGTTTGCCCCGGAGAGCGGAAGGTCGCGGGTTCGATCCCCGACCGCGTCATACCAAAAGACGTTAAAATATGGTACTTGTTGGTCCCTGCCTGGCGCTCGGCATTAATGGGTACAACAAGGACTGGTCGGCTCAGAGTCAGTATAATGTGTCTGAGTGGGGTATCCATGCTTCACTGCGGCATGGTATCTCAGTGGGCTAGCACTATAAAACCAGCTTAAGTCTGGGCTAGTACAAGCAGCCGCACATACACATACACACACGCATGCACGTCGTCATATGAGCGAAATATTCTCAAGCACGACGTTAAACCCAATTTCACCTCACCTCACGTAGTTTGCCCTGTGGTCAATCTTTGATCAAAACTAACCCTTACGCTTTGTTTTTAAAGTAATTTTCTGAAGCTTATGTTTTGCTCGTTTGTTTGTTCAGCTTGATTAACGTTGCATTCAGCATTATTCCAGATATCTGACGACGGTTTGGAAATATTCAGACAACCCAGTGATTGACAACATGAGCATCTAATCCACGTTTATGTGTTGTAGGTATACATCTGAAGTATGACACAGATAAAGTAAACCTTGACCGCACCCACATCAACACAGAGGGGGACTTGATCAACAGCATGTCGCACACCAGGTCTGCAGGGAAAGGGAGACTGAAGAACTACTGGGGCACATGCAGCACTATCCCCCTCCCCTTGGCTGATTGTCCCCAGTACTGGGAGACGGAGACCAGGGTCGGACTGGACAAAACACTCACAGGGGGCATTCTCATCCTGGAGGTTGGTGTCTGTGCTGAGGGAGAGATGGACATGACGCACTGTGTAGCCGGTCGTCCCCATGCCTACAGTTTGATCGTCCACCACTGTACTACTCACAAAGGGATATGTAGGATAACCTGGAAGGAGGGAAAGGTTGTGTTACATCTACCTGACACCATCCCCAACACAGCAGGGGCATCACACACACTACACTACGGTGTTGTCTATGATGACGCCAGGAAGAAGATTGTCTTCATTGATGTGAAGGAGAACAAGGTGATGTCGACGTTAGACAATGTAGACTGTAGTCAACCACTGTGGCCGATGTTTGGGGTGTATAACACTGGCCTCCTCACTGTCAGCATGAGACTTGTAGAGGGCAGCGACATCAACATGACGGAGGAGAAGAAAGCCATGATTGTCAAGGCGCTGTCGTGATGTGGCATGCTAAAGGCGGGCATGGTGGTGAGTATGATCACACCCAGATACGTATGTATCAACATGACAGAGAAGAAGAAAGCTCTAGTTATAAGACACTGTCATGATGCAATGTTATGACACATGTGAAATTTGTTAGTGACACTGTCAGTCAAGCCATACTGTACACATTATGTGTAGCCTGATGTCGTGGGTATAAACTCGCTTTAAAACAACAAGTTATGAATGTGAAATTTGTTGGTGACACTGTCAGTCCAGCCATACTGTACACATTATGTGTATCTTGATGTCGTGGGTATAAACTCGCTTTAAAACAACAAGTTATGAATGTGAAATTTGTTGGTGACACTGTCAGTCCAGCCATACTGTACACATTATGTGTATCTTGATGTCGTGGGTATAAACTCGCTTTTAAAACAACAAGTTATGAATGTGAAATTTGTTAGTGACACTGTCAGTCCAGCCATACTGTACACATTATGTGTATCTTGATGTCGTGGGTATAAACTCGCTTTAAAACAACAAGTTATGAATGTGAAATTTGTTGGTGACACTGTCAGTCCAGCCATACTGTACACATTATGTGTAACCTGATGTCGTGGGTATAAACTCGCTTTGAAACAACAAGTTATGAATGTGAAATTTGTTGGTGACACTGTCAGTCCAGCCATACTGTACACATTATGTGTAACCTGATGTCGTGGGTATAAACTCGCTTTAAAACAACAAGTTATGAATGTGAAATTTGTTGGTGACACTGTCAGTCCAGCCATACTGTACACATTATGTGTATCTTGATGTCGTGGGTATAAACTCGCTTTAAAACAACAAGTTATGAATGTGAAATTTGTTAGTGACACTGTCAGTCCAGCCATACTGTACACATTATATGTGTATCTTGATGTCGTGGGTATAAACACGCTTTGAAACAACAAGTTATGAATGTGAAATTTGTTAGTGACACTGTCAGTCCAGCCATACTGTACACATTATGTGTATCTTGATGTCGTGGGTATATAAACTCGCTTTGAAACAACAAGTTATGAATGTGAAATTTGTTAGTGACACTGTCAGTCCAGCCATACTGTACACATTATGTGTATCTTGATGTCGTGGGTATAAACTCGCTTTAAAACAACAAGTTATGAATGTGAAATTTGTTGGTGACACTGTCAGTCCAGCCATACTGTACACATTATGTATATCTTGATGTCGTGGGTATAAACTCGCTTTGAAACAACAAGTTATGAATGTGAAATTTGTTAGTGACACTGTCAGTCCAGCCATACTGTACACATTATGTGTAACCTGATGTCGTGGGTATAAACTCGCTTTGAAACAACAAGTTATGAATGTGAAATTTGTTAGTGACACTGTCAGTCCAGCCATACTGTACACATTATGTGTATCTTGATGTCGTGGGTATAAACACGCTTTGAAACAACAAGTTATGAATGTGAAATTTGTTAGTGACACTGTCAGTCCAGCCATACTGTACACATTATGTGTATCTTGATGTCGTGGGTATAAACTCGCTTTAAAACAACAAGTTATGAATGTGAAATTTGTTGGTGACACTGTCAGTCCAGCCATACTGTACACATTATGTGTATCTTGATGTCGTGGGTATAAACTCGCTTTGAAACAACAAGTTATGAATGTGAAATTTGTTAGTGACACTGTCAGTCCAGCCATACTGTACACATTATGTGTAACCTGATGTCGTGGGTATAAACTCGCTTTGAAACAACAAGTTATGAATGTGAAATTTGTTGGTGACACTGTCAGTCCAGCCATACTGTACACATTATGTGTAACCTGATGTCGTGGGTATAAACTCGCTTTGAAACAACAAGTTATGAATGTGAAATTTGTTGGTGACACTGTCAGTCCAGCCATACTGTACACATTATGTGTAACCTGATGTCGTGGGTATAAACTCGCTTTGAAACAACAAGTTATGAATGTGAAATTTGTTGGTGACACTGTCAGTCCAGCCATACTGTACACATTATGTGTAACCTGATGTCGGGGGTATAAACTCGCTTTGAAACAACAAGTTATGAATGTGAAATTTGTTGGTGACACTGTCAGTCCAGCCATACTGTACACATTATGTGTATCTTGATGTCGAGGGTATAAACTCGCTTTGAAACAACAAGTTATGAATGTGAAATTTGTTGGTGACACTGTCAGTCCAGCCATACTGTACACATTATGTGTAACCTGATGTCGGGGGTATACACTCGCTTTGAAACAACAAGTTATGAATGTGAAATTTGTTGCTGACACTGTCAGTCCAGCCATACATGCACAATACAGAGATGTACAAGTATTGTCATCCATATATTTGTCTTATATATACAACAAGTTAATATTAGTGGCTTGGGTATGAAACGTCTATGAAAGATGGCTATGGATATATTATTATACAAGAGGAAGTCTTCGTGTATTTATTGCTGATCCACATCTACTATTCAGCAGCAATCTCACACTGTCAGCTCGAGTGATGTGGGGAATGTATTGACGAGGGCAGCATGTACCGATAAGCCAACATGCATTGAGGCAACAACATGTTTTCAGGGGCCAACATATATTAAGGCTCCAACATGTTTTAAGGGCCAACATGTATTCAGGGGCCAATATGTATTCAGGGGCCAACATGTATTCAGGGGCCAATGTGTATTCAGGGGCCAACCAGGGGCCAACATGTATTCAGGGGCCAACATGTAAGGGGCCAATGTATTCAGGGGCCAACATGTATTCAGGGGCCAATATGTATTCAGGGGCCAACATGTATTCAGGGGCCAACATGTATTCAGGGGCCAACATGTATTCAGGGGCCAACATGTATTCAGGGGCCAACATGTATTCAGGGGCCAATATGTATTCAGGGGCCAACATGTATTCAGGGGCCAATATGTATTCAGGGGCCAATATGTATTCAGGGGCCAACATGTATTCAGGGGCCAACATGTATTCAGGGGCCAACATGTATTCAGGGGCCAATATGTATTCAGGGGCCAACATGTATTCAAGGGCCAATATTTATGGAGCCTCCACATGTTTTAGGGGCCAACAAGTATTCAGGGGCCAATATATTTTGAGATTCCAACATGTTTAAGGGGCCAAAATGTATTCAGGGGCCCGGGTTCGATTCCCCACATGGGTACAATGTGTGAAGCCCATTTCTGGTGTCCCCCGCCGTGATATTGCAAGAATATTGCTAAAAGCGGCGTAAAACATACTCACTCACTCACCTGATAACAGTCATACATAGGATTTCTGATGTTACTGATGACTCAACCGTGAGGATCAATGCCGACGTTTCACAATACAGCTATAGTTTATATTTGTTAACGGAAAAAGTAACTGTGTATAACATGACATTGCATAAAATAACAGTTTTATCAAAAGTTACAAAACTAACCCTTAATATGTATGCTAAGAAATCCAGTTCGCTCTACCCCATATATAGTCTATTGATTTAGGTCACCGTCGTTTTTCTGTTTGTTTTCTGCCTTAGATTTATCTTCGGTAAGTATTATACTTGTTAACTTAGAGAAGAAATACTGTACAGTTCGCTCTACCCCCATGTAAAATTGGCCTAATAAACTTTTGGCCTGAACTATTATAACGTTAAAGCACTCGGACCCAAGCGTCTTCCAACTTTATTGCATTGTACATCGAAGTAGAACGTACTGTATATGTTTTCTTAGATGACAAATTTAACACACACAGAAATCAATCTAGGCTGGAAACAAACAGAAAAGCGACGGTTTCGATGACCTTACAGACGTGCTGTTCTATTGACGTGTCTTCCCCCTACGTTAGGACACACGGCAAGAGAAAAAGCAAAGGTTGATGACGATTTACGTTCGGGTTAAATATCTTCTCTAAATTATTTTAATTACATCTGTGATTTACATAAACCAAATGGGGCAACATGAACGTCGCATTTCTACTACCAACGTTTAGATCAGTACATCCGGATGAACCTGACTATAGTCCGTTTGGCTCAAGAGCGGACAGATGAATTGCAATCTAACTCGAAAACTAATACACATAAAATACTCAATAGCGCTGATCATAATCAAAACATCAGACCAACTCTGTCAGGCTTTGTTGGCACTTGTGCACGTGCTTCTCTAACACCTGGCTGTCCCTTTCTCTGCACTCCTCCCTCGTAACGAAAAGTGAACTGTGTCAAAATTTTAATGATAGTTTGTTAAACAACTTTTTTAATTTTAGGACATAATTTCTGCAACAAATCACAGAGTTGGTCTAATATTTGATTATTATCCGCGTTTTATTGAGTATTATATGTTTATAAGTTTTCGAGTTAGATTGCAACTCATCGGTCCGCTTTTGAGCCAAACAAACTATAGTCACGCCACATTCCACGGATGCATTGTGGGAATGTAAACAATGCGAACGTTGCCGTGTCGCTGTTTCATTGTGAGTCAAACTAAGACATTATATCCGTCGAAAAACATAAACGTAATCTTTCCACTAGTGATGTTAGCCGAGTGAAGCAACTGCAAACCAAGAAACGAGGTGCTACGGAGTAGTTTACTGTAGGAGGCTGTAGGAGGCGATGACAACTGACATGCATCCTGACGTCGGTTACCAAGGCAGTGACGTAATTACAGTGTGACGTCATGCAAATATTGTACTACAGTACAAAACTCTTCCGCAACTTTTCCGGGTACGTTTGATTACAAAAGGACGCGAATTGCGTAGTGACGTCAATACAGTGTGACGTAATGCCAAATGGTGTACTTCATCGCCTTAGATCTTTTAGCGAAGCTTGTTAGAATTATAAATAACCACTCGTGTGTAATCCATCGTTGTTTATTGGCTGTATCTTGGGTAGTTCAGTCTCTCATCGCAGACAGGAGGGACACTGTATTGGAAATGTATGGCAACTGGACTTCTCTGTCTCCCAGTGCAAACAGGCTGTAGTCGGTGCCCACGTCGAAATAGGTGGGGCTCCAGGGGTGGTGGATGATCATCACGTCGTGGAGGCACCGGCTGTCCTCACTCACTCCCGTCCACACCCAAATGGACTTATCCAGACCGGGCAATCCAAAGTAAATTACACAGATGTATGGACCATGTCATCTATTTTTTTACAGGACCATCGGGCTGGCTAGCTGTAAGTTTAGCTGTCCTTTAGAAATCTAGCCTGTCTCGGTCGGTCGGACGGGCCTTATTTCATACATATTATGTCATCGTATCCCAGTTACCTAGATCGATGCTCATGGTGTCGATCACTGGATTGTCTGTTACCGATTCGATTATTTACAGACCGCCGCCAAATAGCTGGAATATTGGGGAGTGCAACGTTAAACATCAAAGAAACAAATGATCGTGTTAATCTGTGTCACAATAAGTATCTATCAAAAGGTAATGTAGCGATGTAAAATGATACTAATGTATCTGTCGTGTAAAATTACATGAACACAAAGATAATGCTATAATTTCACTCGTCACCTGAGACAAAGCAGCAAATGAGCAACACAAACAAATATGCAATGAGAATGCATATGTTTGGAAAGAATCCCCTGTTATATGTATGATTTCACTTTGTAACATTACAAAACATCGTAGGGCGTGAAATATGTTGCTATTTTTTGGCGCAAAGACAGAAGAATACTTGATAAAATGTCCGCTGTGAACGGGGCACGCTTTGCGGCTCGTCTACTCCCAAATTGAGAGGAACTTTCACGAATCAATTCTTTTATTAGCACGAAAAATGAAAATATTACCAGCACCGTCCAAATTGTAGTAAAATAAACTCTGTCAAAAAAGAAACGCAACCCCTGTCCTCAGATATGAAAAATTCGTTTGAATGAAGTTATTGCTTCCAAACTAAATTTTATTCGAATGTATTGAAATGATACACATAATTAATGAAGATTACCATCCAAACAACTGCATTTGTACGCATAAGTGTATTTTATTGCTTATTCCGTCACAACGCATGAAATGACCCTCATGGTGACTTCGCACCAAAAAAACACATGCAAATCATGAAAATGGCAGTTAATGTAGGGGTGTATAAAAGCCCATGTGCTTCCGTATTATATTCATTCATTTGTCGCCGAAAAGCTGTGTTAAAATGCCACGATTGAGTGCTGCCGACCGAAATATCGCCATTGGTCGTGTCTGCCGGAGAAAGTTTTGGAACTGTTGCACGGCACCTAAATGTTCACAAAACAACGATATCCCGACTTTGGAGCCGCTACAACAACTTCAATTTGACCAACGATCGCCCGAGAAGTGGAAGGCCAAGAATCACGACCCCTTCAAGATCGGTACATCCGGGTCCATCACCTGCGTAATCGGCATGCCCTACCAACCGTGACTGCCACACAAATACCAGGTTTGAGGAGAGTGTCAGCTCAAACGATTAGGAACCGTCTGAAAGAAGCGGGTTTACGTGCCTGTAGACCAGTTGTTGGACCTGTACTACGCCCCCTACATCGACGCCGACGACTCAGGTGGTGCAACAACGTAAGGATACGGACTTTACAAAACTGGAGGCGAATCTGGTTTTCTGATGAATCACGTTTTCTTTGCAACGTCACGACGGAAGACAGCGTCTGTATAGGAGACGTCATAAACGTTTTGCGCCCATCTGCGTCCGACAGGTGGACAGATTTGGCGGAGAAAGCGTCATGGTTTGGGGAACCATCTCATACAACCAGAAATCAGACTTGGTGATCGTTCCAGGGAACCTGACAGCCCAACGTTACATCAACCACGTGTTAGAGCTTCACCTTCTCCCGATTATTGACCAACAGACACAGATTTTTCAACGGGACAACGCCCGGCCTCATACTGCACGTGCAACAATGAACTTTCTGCAGAATTCCAACGGCAATGTCTTGCCATGACCCTCTACATCACCAGACCTCAACCCTATTGAACACCTGTGGATACTTGGATCGACGCGTACGTCAACGTCAGCCGCCGCCACAGACGCTGCAACAGCTCGCCGTTGCACTGCAGGAGGAGTGGAGAGCCATTCCCCAGGAAAGAATCCGGCGTCTTATCCGTTCTTGTCCAAGGAGATGCCGTGCAGTGATTGCAGCGCGTGGTGCTCATACGAGATACTGAGAAAGACGCCCCCCCTGGTGACAAACTGGTGTCTGTGAGATGACTTTTGAAATGACAATTTTAAACATGCCCATCTGGGTTATTATTCTGCCAAATTTCAGACTTCTGTCTTAAATAATAAAAATGCCGTGTCGTCCTAAAACTTCAGATCAAAATCTCTAAAATACAGGGGTTGCGTTTCTTTTTTGACAGAGTTTTATTTACTGATCAAACTGTCTATGGATGTCATTGGCAACCAGCTGATTGAAGAATTCATTGGCTACAAATGTTCCACTGAAATGGGCCACCACAGCGACAAAGCCTGGCCTCTGGTGCGTCAGCAGGTGCCTGCAAAACACGAGACACACTCGAAACACATTTCAAACTCGGTGGCCTTTCGTAATCTGATTTACCTTCGCTGTGCAGTTTAGGACAGGGGGCGGGGGGTAGCCTAGTGGTTAAAGCTGGTTCAGTGAGTAGCACCTACGTCCTGTCCTGAACGTGTGCGTGAGTGAGTGTAGTTCTACGCCGCTTTAAGGCAATATTCCATCAATATCATGACGGGGAACACCAGAAATGGGTTTTAAACATTTGTGCCCATGTGGGAATCGAACCCGGGTCTTTAACCCGGACTAGGCTACCCCACCGCCCCTATGCCCCGAAGGTCACCATACCGTTAGAGAATGCTGACTGATATGTACAACGTGTACCAAATTATTGTGCTCTTGAAACAATTCGCCTAATACAATTATTCGTTACGTAAAATCATTAAGGTATTATACGTGGGGAATAACTCACTGCCCAATCCGTAATATTGCTTCCCCAATACCCAGGGGTGTCCACTTTAACATGTATTAAAACATAGTATAGCCAGTATGAGTGAGTGAGTTCACTTTTACGCCGATTTAACAACATTCCAGCTATATAATAATAAGTCATCTTCTATAGCGCACGGTCTCCAAACACCAAGTGATTGCTCGCGGCCATTAATCAGAATCCGATTCTTATTACAACGGATAACCCAAGCTGCCTGTTAGGCGCTAGAAGGTTATAGTCACATGACTTTATACCACCGACCGGGTACCCATTTTCTACTGGGTGAACTGAGGCAATTTGAACAAACTCACTTGCCTAAGGTGAGACTACATGCATCACATGTGCTTCGTTGTGGGGCAGGACTAAAGTGCTAGAAACTCTCAGGAGTCAGGCTGCCAAATACGGTCACCCATCCAAGGATTGTCCGAGCTCGACGTTGCTTAACTTCAACTGATTCGTGACCTGACCTCTGTGCACAGGACCACGCGCGACCACGGCGGGGACACCGGAAATTGGCTTCACACATTGTACCCATATGGGGAATCCAACCCGGGTCTTCGGAGTGACGAGCGAACGCCTTAACCACTAGACTACCCCACCGCCCCATAGACAGTATGAAGATATCGTAGTGTAATTCCTTCAAGAATCAATTAAGGTCAAATATTTACACACCTGCTACCTGTTGTTTGGGTTATTGTTTCGCACGTGCATTAGAATGGAAATATAAAGACATTGCTAAACAGTGAGTGAGTGTAGTTTTACGCCGCTTTTAGCAATATTCCAGCATTATCACGGGGACAGGGGACATCAGAAATGGGCTTCACACACTGTACCCATGTGGGGAATCGAACCCGGGTCTTCGGAGTGACGAGCGAACGCTTTAACCATAAGGCTACCCCACCGCCCCAAATTGCTAAACAGGGAAATGCATCAAAACATGTTTTGGAAAGGCATATGTACCGAGACTGTCTCAGCTGTGACAGTTGGAATGTAGTCGTAGGACCTGACGTCACGTGTACAACAGACGGGCAACGATGATCGCACAATGAATGGGGCGCCGCTTGTACCATGTGACGCGCCGCTTGATGTCGTGACGTCGTTCCCCAACTTCTTATCTAAAGCCAGTCTTGATGTCGTGAACTGGCCTTCCCGTTGAGTGAGACATGAACCTGATCGAGTGAGTGAGTGAGTGAGTTGAGTATTACGCCGAGCCCAGCAATATTCCAGCTATATGGCGGCGGTCTGTAAATAATCGAGTCTGGACCAGACAATCCAGTGATCAACAACATGAGCATCGATCTGCGCAGTTGGGAACCGATGACATGTGCCAACAAGTCAGCGAGCCTGACCACCCGATCCCGTTAGTCGCCTTTTACGACAAGCATAGTCGCCTTTTATAGGAAGCATTGGTTGCTGAAGGCCTATTCTACCCTGGACCTTCACGGGTATGATCCTGATCGAACACATTTAGGATGAGCTCAGAAGACGACATCGACAGCAGCTGAATCACATGACGACTGGTGAAGACTTCAGATTGGGGGTCTTCCGACAGGTTATCCTGTCCACGGAAAGACGTCGTGTTGCTGTCACGGTCGTCCCAGAAGGTCACATCCGTTAATACGTCTTCTGTACCAACAGTGTTATCAGCATGAGTTCTCGTTCGGGGTCATGGGAAGTTATACATTATTGTTTAAATAATAATGATGCTGAAATCCGACTTTCATCGACTGTGTTGTTACCTGGATGATGCACATCTCTGTTAACAACAACGCAAACATCACTTCTAGGATTCAGTTAGCTGAGTATAGGTCAAAGGTATATTCCATATCTTAATAGTCACACGTCCATCATTCGAATCCGCCATGAAGCTAGAATATTGCTGTGTACGGCGTTAACAACAACAACATCATCAACAACAACAACAACAAGCAACCATCATTTGAATACATGTACACATAATATACAAGAATGATACCAGATTAACTGCCAATAGACGTAATTTCGTGGTGTATTCTTTGTGTCAGATAAATCCTGTTTACTTGATTGGTAAGTTCTGAGCCTCACAAAGAATTGCGTCCTTGTGAAACCATTTGTTGTGGACATTTCGTGATGTGATAGAGTCCACTTAGCGAATTGTTTAGAAAGATCGGCGTGAGTTTGTGACCTATGCAAGAGCAGAAAAGTCAGTGGGTGAGTGAGTGAGTTAAGATTTTAAGTCACATCGGCAACATTTCAGCCACACCATGACTAAATCAAATTATAGATTTATAATAATTGAGAGTAAATTTTAAAAACAACTGTCAACGAAGGACAAGAAAACAATTAGATTATCACAGATATAAATGTAAATATATAAGACAATACAATATAAAAACAGGCTATAGATCGCCAACAACTGAAGGTAGATCACCATACTAGGGACCATGGAAACTTACACTACTTGTGCTACCTGCATGGACCCTAGCTGGATTTACACCACCCCTTCAGATGTTAGCAATTTTTGACAATCTAGCCATAAAGTAAAATAACATATATGCTGCAGTTAAAAATAGTAGTACGTTTAAATTTACTATAATTGTTTTGGGAAGAAAGTCAGTGATCTGCACTGCTGTCTCCCCTGGTGGTTCTGTCATACCGCTTGTCACGCCGCAGACCCGGGTTCCATTCCCCACATGGGTACAATGTGTGAAGCCCATTTCTGGTGTCCCCCGCCATGATATTGCTGGAATATTGCTAATATTGCTGAAAGCGGCGTAAAAACTAAACTCACACACTCAATCACTCTGTCCTACAGAAAGTCGTTAATTTGGTTAACACATGTTATTATGTCCCAGTTGCGTAGATCGATAGTCATGCTGTTAATCACTGGATTGTCTGGTCGGGACTCGATTATTTAAAGACCGCCGCCATATAGCTGGAATATTGCGGCAACAACAAACAAACAAAAGACGTTAAGAGGCGGTCCTTGTCACCTTGCCTGACATTCGGCACTTCAAGGTCAACAGAACACATTATTCACTTTGCTGTATTTGGGTGGTATAACTTGAAAATGCTAATAATCATAATAATAATTAATTTATATAGCGCCTATTTTCCAACTTTGAGCTGCTCAATGGCGCTGAACAGGGTAGATAATTAACATATCATATGCTTGATTAAACAGGAAACTGTTTAGGCAGTTCTGGAAGGATTTGTGAGAGCTTGCTGTTTTGAGTTCAAATGGTAGATTGTTCCACAAGGTAGGGACAACTTTGGAGAAGGCACGATCAGCAAGTTTAGTGGATGGGGGAACCGAGAGATTGTACATATTCTGAGATCGGAGATATCGTCCTGGTGTATACATCTGGATCAGGTCCTTTAGGTAGAGAGGGGAGTTATCATTGTTTATGTCAGTGGTTCCAGCATTACTTACCGGAAACAATCCGAACAAACTTGACAAACACACAAACGTTTATTCACGTCGCTGTATATGTGCGAAAATGTTCGATGTGACGTAAAACCACGTATACATATTTGGTCACAAAAAGAAATTTGACCTAGTTCGAGTCCCGCTTAGTCAGTGGTGTGTAGCCAGTTATCACGAGGACACATACAAAAGCTAGGTCTGTCACGTAAACAGAGAGCGTTCAGTGCGTCTTGGGAGTGGAATATGAATATTAGATATGAAAAAGATCATTTACAGCAAGAAACTACTCATGAAATTTACAATAGGTTATTGTTGAGTTCAGTTATGGCAATTTAGAGACCCCTGACGGAGCTATAATAAAAGGGCACGTATAATAAATGTCTTTGGGTCTACGCCAGAACAGGTAGTTTGCATACCCGTCTGTACCTGGGACCTTCAGTCTGGGTCGACTATACGACGTTATGTGCAGGGGATCCCGAAACAGTCGTCCTGACGCAAGCGATGTGCAGCTTTCTTTGTGTTCACAGGTGGATAAGCTCAGTACAGCTTGATAAACATCAGTTCGGTGAGCACTAACACAGGTGAATGACGACGCAACAATACGATATTTGCGATATTTGTACGTGTCAATACGCAGTGAATAGTCTTGCAATTTTCGGGGAAGCGAATGCCAATCGATCATGTTTTTCAACCAATCAGATTAAAGAACATGGTGACTCTTGGATTACAATATGCAATAAACGAGGATTTGTCATCCATAAAGTCGCATGTTTTATTATTGAAAGGTCGTTGGTACGTGCCTGTCTTAGAAAAAGGCACCCCCGCCTGCAGCATCTTGCATTTGCTGTAAAAGGTATATGATATTTTCAGACGTGACGCTCCGGTCGACACCGTTGACGTCATGACGAAGAAGGACGTAGACGGCGGCTGGGCGTGGGTGGTTCTGGTGGCGTCCTATATGAACGGGTTCCTGCTGCCAGGAGTGTGTTACATGGGTGGGATGTTCCAGGTGGTTCTGTTGGAGCACTTCCAGCAGAGTGTGGGCCTCACAGCCTGGGTCACGTCAGTGTATGCCTCGCTCATGCTGTTTCCTGGCTGTTGTGAGAAATTTGTCTATCAAGCCATACTGTATCCACACGATGGTTTGTATCGGTATTATTTAATATATTGACTGCTGTAATCGTTCCATGCTTACATATCGTTGCTACACAATATTACCCAAACACTGTTTACATACATTGTTCCACCCGAAAAGATTCGGATTTGAATAGGTCTTCAGGGCTGTCGTAAGACACGAGCATGGTTGTCGTAAAAGGCGACTCGTGGTCAGGCTCACTGACTTGGTTGACACATGTCATCGTATCCGATTGCGTTGGAAGACGCACATCAGATGAAGTACAGATTAGCAATCAGTTGACCGTAGTTCGGAGATGCCTTGAAATAATTAGAAAGTTCTAAGCAATAAAAAAAAAGTTTTAAATTTGGAGCGATTCCCTAACTAAAGAATCTTGCCTTTTACACTCTGCAAGGTATCTAGATTCTTTCATGGTGGTAATTTTCAACCAACACAATTGGTTCATGTCATCGATATGTTTAAAATTAAATTTTAACTCTAGAAAACAACCGATATTGATGATCCCATCCAATAAATGTATAAGATGACACCAGGTGTTCACGAAAAGGGTCAGCATGACCTGCTCTACAGGTACCACCTGCCATTCCAAACTTCGCCTAAAATGGAAGTATTTTTTGTCGGACGCCGCACAGCAGTGTTCCTGCCTTGCCTATGCAGCCTATAAACAAACCAGACAATCAAGTGATCGACGGACCGGAAATCTACTTAATGTGAAGTGAATCTGATATTCATCTTTCGCACAACCACACCTGTGATTGTACAGTAGATGTGAAATACAATGCCTGCAGCACATGAGATGAACTCATTATAAATACCTCAGCCTTGTCGAGCTGGTTTGTAGGGCAGCTCTGTGCTTTTAATGTTATTACACAGACAGATGAACGGGCCAATAAAATGTAAATGTACGTCGCCTTTTGAACACAGCATGTGAAATCTCCTACAGTTGGGTAATGTATGCATGTGTGGGACGGACTGCCACCTAATATGCTCTGTAGTTCTCATCTTAACTTCTCCTTGATCCCATTGATCAATATGTTGACACATGTCGTCCATGGTATTTTTGTTGTTATTGTTTAACGCCGTACAATCCAGTGATTTACATCATAAGCGTCGCCATTCGCATTGGGACACGATAACATGCTTCAAGTAAGTCCGCGAGCCTGCCCCTCCCATTAGTCGCCTCTTACGACAAGCCTTGGCTGCTGAAGACCCGATCTGTCCGGGGCGTGGTATGGATGAAGCCATATTGACGGACGAATGTGGGCGTGGTATAAGGGATGGCACTCTGCCAATAGCATAGTGTTCATCTCCTCCTAGACTAACGCTTAGCCTCTGAATATATATAATTTTGATAGCAGTTAGTGAGTGAGTTTATCTTTACGCCGCACTCAGCAATATTCCAGCTATATGGCGGCGGTCTGTAAAAAATCGAGTTTTGACCAGACAATCCAGTGATCAATAGCATGAGCATCGATCTGAGCAATTTGGAACCGATGACATGTGTCAACCAAGCCAGCGAGCCTGAACACCCGATCCCGTTAGTCGCCTCTTACGACAAGCATTGGTTACTGAAGGTTCATTCTAACTCGGACCTTCACGGGTAATTTTGATAGTAACAAACAATTCCA